GGCGCGCGGCGGTCGTCCGCGACAGGGGTGGGTTCCGGGCGGTCAGCGGGGGTGTCGCCTCGTGGCGCTCCTTTAGACACGCACAGTCGTCGCCGTCGTCGTCGTCGTCGTCGTCGTCGTCGTCGTCGTCGTCGTCGTCGTCGTCGTCGTCGTCGTCGTCGTCGTCTCCTCGTCCTGACCTCCGGGGCGGGGGAATGCATCGACCCCGAGTCGTGCACGCGTCGCCGATGGGGGCCCAATCATCCACACCGCCCAGGAGCATGCTGATTTTGCATCTTGTGAATCTGGTGCGTATGGCCCATCCCACCGTCAAGCTCGATTCTCCCCCTGATCCAGTCCCCCAGATCGTCTCCCCTCATGACCCACTCATGAGGAGGAGGAGGAGGAGGAGGAGGAGGAGGAGGAGGAGGAGGAGGAGGACCAGGAGGAAACGGAGGAGGAAACGGAGGAGGAGGAGGAGGAGCAGGAGGAGGATGATGATGATGAGGAGGAGGAGGAGGAGGATCAGAAGAGAGGAGGGAGGCGACGGCCCCAGGCCCGAAGTGCGGGTCTGGGTGCTGGCCAATCGTTCGGCCGGCGGAAACCGGGCTGGAGATGCTGCTGTCGGCGTCTGATCGGGTCGGCTGGGAGGGGGGAGCAGGGCAAGGGGGGGTACGAAGACAAGCCGAGCTTGATAAGTAATATTCCATAAGTCATACTACATGGGGCGCGCGACGTATGCCGCACCACTGTGCACTTACAGCTTCTGTGGTGCTTTGCGCTAACAGCGTAGCCTCCCTGTGCAACTTATCTTTTGCTTGGCTTCAGCTGTGGTGCGCTTCGAAGCGCCTTCGGGCCAGCGCACCCGAGTCGCTTGTCCGCTCGAGAAAAAACAAAAGAGAACAAACAAGGAAGTTGGGGGTACGAAATCTGCTGCGTGCAGCTGGTCTCTGCCCCGCCGCCGGTCGGTTTCCTCGATGCATGATGGGCGCCTCCGGCGCCAAGGGAGGTGCCAGGGAGATCAGCCACGTGAGCTGATGCGCGACCTGTCCCGTTACCGAGCCCTCTGTCGTCTCCTTCTATTGCGGAGGCTTTGCGGCTGGCGCCGCCGACCCTGAATGGCGACGACGATGACGTCGACGACGTGAGCTGATGCGCGACCCCCCCCGGTTGCCGAGCCCCTCTGTCGTCTCCTTCGATTCTGAGGGGGCGCGCCGGTGTCGGCCAGATCCGGGGGCTCCGAGGTGCGCCAAAGCCTCGTGCGCCCCGCTGCCGCTCCTCCGAGCAGCGCCGGCGTCGAGAGTTTGTGCCTGCGCGCAGGTGGAGCGAATCGAAGAAGAGCAGATCGCCACAAACAGAATCGGGTCGGGCGAAAGGGGGGGATAGCAAAGGGGGGGTTTGAGAATCAGCTTACGCAGCTGATTCTCCCGGCGCCTCCTGGCGCCGGAGGCGGCTATGTATCGAGAAAGGGCCCCCTCGGTGAGGCCGAAACCAGCTGCATGCAGCAAATTTCGTAACCCTCCTTTTCACAATCCCTCCCTTTCGCCCAGCCCGACAGAAGCTTTGGGCGCTCCGCGCGGATTTCTCAATGCGCTGGATCTCTGGGGGCCCTGCGTTCCGTTCCATCTGGCCGCCGCGGAACCTCGAACTCCATCGACACGTCCGCGGGCGTGCGTACGAAGACAGCCATGGGGTAGTCGCCGTGCGCCTTCAGCTCCTCCAGCTCCTGAGCCGAGGGAGCTACTCTTTGGAGGAGGAGGAGGAGGAGGAGGAGGAGGATCCGCGCCGGGCCCCCCCCTGGCGGCGCCTCTGGCGCCGCCCCTGGCGCAGTTCCAAAAAATATGCGCGGGGCGCCAAAAGTTTGTGCTTATGGCTTATGGCATTTTTTCTTCTTCTAGGAAAGGGTACCCTGTCGCCCCCAATCTCCGAGCTACCCCCCTCTCAATATAGAGAGGCCGCTCGGAAAGGACGGACAACTCGAGTCTTGCATCCGAGCTGGGCCCCAATTCCTGGTCCAGTCGGCAGCCCCACACAGTCGGGGATTGGGGTCGCCATGCCTCTCGGTAGAGAGGGTGAGGATTGCGTAGGAAGTGGCAGAGCATGGCCAGGGCCATACTATCTGCCAGGTTTCGTGTCCCCATTCCTTCTTTTTCGATGCGCTCCTGGTCCACCCCCCGTCCGCGCACATGCGCGCTTGAACCCTTCTTCCCAGTCCCCCTCTTCGGCGAACCCGCTCCTGGACGAAAGGCGCCCTGAGCTTTTTATGGACATGTTTGGCCCTAGCCAGGAAAGCGGCTCGGGATTACAGTCGGGGCCCTGAAGAAGGAACCCTTTTCGTTGGGGAGGGGCTCCGCGTTCCTTAAGTATTTCACAGCATGCCTCAGGTTTTCCTAATGTCTCCGGTGGGAAATCGAAGGTTAACTTATGGAAAAAAGGGGCCTCGTTCCTTATTTGGGGTTCCTTAGGTCAAGCCCCCGACTGTAGCCAGGAAAGCGGCTCGGGCTTCGTTTGCAACCCGTCCCTAGGAAGGCGCTGGGGACCAGGATCCGTTCCGTCCCGAGCTCGTTCTCCCCACGCCAGGCAGTGTGGTGAGAACATCGGGGCGGCAGCTGTCTGCTAGTATTGGTCAGAACTTGAGCCTCATTCTCTTCCCGATACGTTTCTGCCTATCTCCTGCTGCTCTCGCCTCATCCCCTCCGTCTGTGTGGCTTGGCTAGAATCTGGGATATGCACCGTGCTGGTGAAGGAACACATGAGGAGGATTATGGAATGCGTAGACCATCACATATGGGGCCCAATGGGGGATCTCTTGGGATCGTCATCGGGCCTTCTGACGCCTTCTTGGGCAATCTTGGGGTGCTCTTCGTCTTGAGCTCCTCTCTGATCCGCCTTCGAGGTTTCTTGGGCGCTGTCGGGCCGCCTTGGAGTTTTGTTTTCCTGTGCATGGGCGCTCTTGGGGCTGTCTTAGGGGGCCTCTTGGGCCCTCTTGGAGCCCTCTTGGGCCCTCTTGGGGCCCTCTTGGCAGCCTCTTGGGTCATCTTGGGGCCGTCTTGGGGACCTCTTGGGCAGTCTTCGGCTGTCAGAAGCCCGACACGGCGAGAACACCCACAGATCCCAAGCACCGAGGAAACATCAATGATGTCTGCTTTGGGGGGGCCCTCTTGGAGGGCATCTTGGAGGCCTCTTGGGCCGTGTGAGGGTCCTCGGGGCCGGCTGAGGCTGCCTTGGGGCCATTTTGGGCCGTCTTGAGGTTATCTTGGTGCCGTCTTGACGCCATATTGACGCCATCTTGGGCCGTCATGGAGCCATCTTGAGCCGTATAGAGGCCATTTGAGTCGTTCTTTTTGGCCATCTTGGCGTTCGTCCTGTTGTGCCATACCACCTAAATGCAAGCGCTGTTTGGAAGACACGAGCGCCATGAAGGTTTGGGGTGAACCGCAGAAACCCCTGTTTTGAATTACAGTTTGAATTTCATAGGCCGCCCCCGCCCTGCAGACATTGGGCTCAGGCGAGCAACTGTTACAGTCGATCGGTGTTTCAATTGCTTGTGGCAGTCCTGAACCTGGGACGTCAGAAGCACTTGATTACCCACAAGCAGAGTCGTTGTTGCCAGGAGAGCAAGTGCACCTTCTCTCCTCGCCCTCTTCCTCCCTCCTCCCCTCTCTCCTGTTCCTCCTTCCCTCCAAGCGGTGTCGGGGCAAAGCGCTCGGCAACAGGGGGCGGCTGCCGCGCACGAGCCTTGGCGCCGTCCCGTCCGCGCCGGCCGCGCGTTGCTGCCCGTCTGCCGCACCAGGCGTCTTGTTTTGATGCGGCCGCCACGTTTTAGCTTCAGTTCGCTATAGTGTCTTCGTTAGTCACCGCCTCCACGGTCGTGCACTGTCGGTCTCGCGGAGTTGGGATCTCACGCTACTCGTTGGCGCGTGCTTTCGCCCGTTGAGCTTTCGTTTTGATCAGTCGTTGGCCCCCAGCTCTTCTGCATATTGTACGCTGCCACCCGCCGCGTGGCTGAGGAAGTGTGGCCGTGGCGAGCTTCGGCTTTCGCCCGCCCTGCCCGCCCTGCCGGTGCGGCCTACGTTGCGCATGCTGCCCCCAGCGTGTCTGGCTGTGCTTGTGCAGCTCGTGTCTCGTGCCAGTCGCTTTTCCTTTCGGGTATATTGTGCCTGAGCGCTTCTTCTTGTCGGAATTCCTGCGCTTTCCGTGCCCTGTATGGAGCCGTTGCGGACGAGACACTGTCTGTACACCCTGGTCGATTGCACATTTAGTTGTGCGCGGGTGGGCCCGTTAGCGGCAAGTGGAGCTGGAGAAACTTGGAGTGGCTGGCGCTAATGGAAGAAGAGAACTCTTGGCGTCCGTCCTGGGTCAATCCTGAGGCCCCAGAAGGCTTCAGACGCTGGGGAGCCTGAGCTGCTGGCCTGACGTAATTCCCCAAGAGCTGTGGGGGCAGCGGCAGCGGGGCAGATGCACCTGCGCGAGCCATCCCGCCGCGTGCGCCTGCAGTCCAGGTGCTGCCGCAGGGACCACGGCTGGGCTCAGAATGGGGCTCTGCTTCTCGGGCCGCTCCGCAGAGCTGGGCCCGGGGAGCTCGGCGGTTGCCGAGGCAAGCCGTGGCCAGACGCGCCCCCTTCGTGCCTGATGCGGCGCCCCCTCCATGGCGTCGCGAGGACTGTGCCAAGGCATGGGTTCCTTCTCCCCCCAGGCCTTCGGACCGGCAGCGCGGCCGAGGCCGCCCGCGGCCCCTCACTATTCGGGAGGGAGCAGACAGACACAGACATAATGAAGCGTCGACTCCCAGGAAGATGAGGGAACATGTGGGCAGTGGGGGGGAAGACGAAAGCCCACGAAAATGCGGGAACCTGTGGGAGCATGTGGGAACATACGGGGATTTGTGTGTGTGTGTGTGTGTGTCCTTGGGCCTCCTTACCGATGCCGCGCCCGCCTCCGCGGGGCGCCCGCCATGCTGGGCCCGCCGGGCGGCGGCCACGGCGCCGACCCCCCCCCCCCCGTCTGGAAACGAGCGCGCCCCCCCCCGGGGCTGGGTCCCTCGCGGGGGTGCCTCCTGGTGGCGGGGGCACTCTGGGGGTCCAGAGGCCCGACGTCCCAGCGGAAATATCGGAGCAGGCGGCTGCTGGCTGTGCTCGACCACTGGGGGCCGTCGCGCGGGCCTCGGGAGCGTCCAAGATCGGGGGTGGACAGACCTCCTCGGACCTCCTACCCTGGCACGTCGATGAAGGAATCGGCCGTTTGCGGTTCGCGAGAGGGCGTCGCGGCCGTTATTTTTTTTTCGGGTCCAGGTCCGTTGGTTTCGGTCCCGGGCCGTTTTCACGAAGGGGAGGTTTGCTAAAGGGAGGTTTGTCCACCGCCGACAAAAACAACCTCGGGGCGAGAAGCCGGCCCCAGGGGAAGTGATCGCGGGACCTCCGTGGCCCGCGCATCGAAGAAGTGGGAGCGGCCGGATGGCTTGGGAGCTCCTTGTGTGCCGCTTCGGCCGCCTCTTGGGCCCTCCTGGGTTGTCTTAACTGGAGAAGAAGACGATGAAGAAGAAGAAGAAGAAGAAGAAGAAGAAGAAGGAGGAACGTCGTAAACATAAACTAATGGCGCTCCGCGCGGTTTTCTCAGATCCGCGCTGGGGCCCTCCGGCGGCGCCTCCGACGCCTCCCCGGGCGCGTTCCGCGCGCCATGTATGTTTCATGGCGTTTTTTCTTCTTCTTCTTCTTCTGCTTAGGGCGCTCCTGGCCCGTCTGGCACCGGCGGAGGCCGTCTTGGGGACGTCTCTGGGCGGCTGTCTTAGGCCCCCCCTTGGGCCAAGCCTTTGGGGCCGTCTTGGGGTTCTTTGGGTTCGTCTTGGGACGCTCTTTGGGCCGTCGTGTGGCAGTCGTGGGCCATCTTGGGTCCCTCTTGAGGGGCCTCTGGGGCCGTCTTGGGGTCATCGCGGATGCCTCTTTGCCCCTTTTTTGCTGTCGGCAGCCCGAGAAGGCGATAACACCAAAAACCGTTCAAACACTTCGGGGGCATCACAGACGTTTGCTTCTTTGGCCCTCCTGTATGGCATCTTGGAGCCCTCTTGGGCCGTGTCGGGGACCTCTTGGGCCGTCTCGAGGACATCCTCGGCCGTCTTGAGGCTATCTTGGTGCCGTAATGGCGCCATCATGGCGCCATCCTGGAGCCGTCCTGGAGCCATTTTGAGCCGTCTGGCGGCGTGTCAGGGTCGTCTTGGCGCCCGTCCTCGCGGGGGATGGATCCCGCCTTGGCTTGGCAGGTCTCCAAGACGGTCCTGGACGACGAGACAAGACAAGACGAGACAAGACACGCCAAGGCAGTCGTTTGACATGGGTCACACACGCTGTTATTGCATGGTTCATGCCTTGGAACATTGACTGCGATAGACCGTGTCGTGGGCATATCGTGTTGCTTGCAACCCTGCAGACAGGCGCGTCCCTGGGCAAGAGACAGTGAGGGAAACTAGAAAGACACTCTTCAGGTCGGCCCACGATCCAAGATGGCCCCAAGACGCCCGAAGAGGGGTCTATGGCGGTCCCAGGAGGCGGGCCCTCCTCCCCTCCGGCGGCCGAGGACCTCGTGGAGCAGTGCATCTACTCCCTGGGGGACCACAGCACGTACCTGAGGTTCAACAGGGAGCCCTGCGACCGCCTCATCACCTTCCTCAAGGATGGGTCGGCCCAGCTCCGCCTCCTCGCGCTGTGAACAGGCATCACGACGGACCCTTTCCGGCCTGCGGGGGCTCTCCACGTTCCCCGGGGCAGTCAACAGAACCCGCTCAGCGTGAAACGTGGAACCCGAGGAGGCCTTCCCCAGAGCAGGTTCTTCATCCCGAGTGGCTTCTTGACGGCCCCGGGGCATGGCGAGGGCCACCGGACCGGGGGCCAGCCGTTGCCAACAAAGCAGTGCGCCGCGTCTGCCTGCTGCCCGCGGCGCGCGGCCGTCGGGGCCCTCCTCGCCCGCCTGCTCGTCCTCCTCCTCCTTCTCCTGCTCCCTCCTCCTCCCTCCTCCTCCTCCTCCTCCCTCCTCCTCCTCCTCCTCCCTCCCTCCTCCTCCTCCCTCCTCCTCCTCCTCCTCCTCCCTCCTCCTCCTCCTCCTCCTCCTCCTCCTCCTCCTCCTCCTCCTCCTCCTCCTCCTCCTCCTCCTCCTCTTCCTCGTCTTCCGGGGAGCCACGACGTGAACAAAGTCGCACCGTCGGAGGCCCTGGCGGTGCTGATGCCCCTTGTTCGAGCCGCTCGGCCCCACTTCCGAGTCCAGCCCAGTGGCCGAGACGGCGCGCGTCTGGAGTGAAGTCGGGCATGGCCCTCAGCAGGAGGAAGGTTCAAGAAGTCAGCGGCAAGGATAGTATGGCGACGAATTGTGATACTATGGTTGATCCGTTTGGGGCATGTTTGAGGTATTTTTGACGTTTCGTCCCACATCCGCCTGTAGGAGGACATGCCCGACCGAAGTCTGGAGAAGCGCCCGCAAATGTCGTCAACTCGGCCCAGACACTTCAGACGCTATCTCGGCCACAGAGCGACGTCCGCTAAGACGAAAGCAATCGTCAATTCAGCTCAGGCACTCCGTTCGTCAAGAGGGGAGGAGCCGCCATCTTGGCCCCGACACGTTGTTCGTCAAGACCGACGTTGCTTTTACCCAGCAGCTCGGCCCCGACGCTTTCTTCGTCAAGACGGAGGGTGCAGCGAGGGGCGCTGTCACGGGGGTTCGTCCACTCGGAGGGGAGGCGGCACCGGGGCTGGTCACCCCAGAGGGAGGCCGTCAATGGGGGCTCGTCAAGGGGGCTCGTCAACTCGGAAGGAGGTCGTCAATGGCGTTTGTCAACTCGGAAAGGGGGCCGTGAATGGGTTTCGTCGACTCGGAAGGAGGCCGTCGAGGGGGTTCGTCAACTCGGAGAGTTGACGGCCAAATCCTTGCGCGAAGAGAGAGTTGGCGGCCAAATCCTTTCACTAAGGTGGAGTTGGCGGCTCAAGCGCCAGATACAGTATACGTGGTCATCCATCGTGACGTCCAGGCCCACCTCCACACCAGCCGCCCGCGACATGTTCAATCGCATTCGATGTCCGAGGATCCGATGCGGCCCGTTGCTCGCGTAGCGCTGCTGTGCATCCTGGCGCAGCCGATCCAGTCCGATTTCAATTCAGTACCGCTACAGCCCGACCCCACGCACATTCCGATTCGATCCTGTGTCCCGCTTGGATGCTAGCCGATCGTGCCTTCTTCAGTCGAGGATCCTCGCGGCGTGTGTCCGGCCTGCGTCGGCCATCGTTGCAGCGCCTTCGTCGCCGCAGCTGGAGGCTGCGCTGGACAAGCACACGTTGGCGCCAACACGCGTTCTGGGGACTTAGTTGCCTCGATACGCGCGTTTTGAAACGCAACACGTCCCGTGTTCAAGACGTCCGTCTCAATACGTTGCGTGTTGGCTCCACGTATTGGACCACGCTTTGGCGAGTGTACCGCGTCGGGCCTACGCTTTCAGCCTACGTGTTGAGCTCCGTAGTTATCGATACGATACGTGTGGCGTGTTGCGTATCGGGGCAGCTAAGTCTGGGGATCGGAGGAGGAGGAGGAGGAGGAGGAGGAGGAGAAGGAGCAGGAGGAGGAGGAGGAGGAGGAGGAGGGGATCCTCAGTCCTGGCCCGCCTCTTCGGCGGCCCCGGCGGGGTGGGGAGCTCCAGGCGCCGCGCCGCGCCCGGGGGGAAGCACGGGGCGCGAGCCTGGCGCGAGCCGCGCGGGGCCTCTGGAGAGCCGTGCCGCGGGGGGGGGCGGTCATCGAGCAGGGAGGAGTTGCGGGGACGAGCACGCCGGGCGTGACGCCATGGGGGGGTCCGGGGGTGCATGGGGGAGCGAGGAAAGGTGCAGTCTGGGAGGCTGGTGTACCCTCGGAGCTCTGTCTTTGGCGTCTGGGAGTCGATGAGGTAGCGCCGACTTAGCGTCGGCTAGCGTCGATCAGCGTCGGTGTGGCGTCGGTTCGCGTCGATTTAGCGTCGCCCGGCGTCCTGCCGCAAGAGCCGACGAGACGGTGTGGGAGGCCTCCACGGGCTGCCACCGGAGGTGCACCTGGCGTGCCCACCACCGGTCGCCCGCCCCCTTTGTGGCGACGCCTGAGAGCGGCGCCACGACGAGGGGAGGTGTCGAGTTTTTTTTTTTGGTGCGCAGTCGACTTCGTTGTCGTCGTTGTCGTCGATGGCAGTCGTCTTTGTCTATGTCTTTGCCTTTGTCGCCCTCGTCGTCGTCGTCGTCGTCGTCCTCGTCGTCGTCCTCGTCGTCGTCGTTGTCGTCGTCGTCATCATCGTCGTCGATGGCTGCCCTGCTCGAAGGAGGTTGGGGAGGGTGAGAAGCAGGAGGAGCAGAAGTAGGATGGGGAGGACGAGATGAGGAGTAGAGGCGACGGAGGAGACGCCGGGAGGACGAGGTCGCTGCCCCTGCTGCGGCGCGGCGCCCGGGGCCGTGCCACCGCCTCTCCGGCGCGAGCCTCGGCGCCGCGGCAGCGCACGGCGGCCGCAGCCGGCCCGCGGCCCTCGCCGGGGCTCGTCGGGGCCGAGCGGGGGCGCCCGCTCGGGCCAGGGGAGCTATATACGCACAGAAACCTCTCGGTGGCTCTCCCGCGGCCTGGGCGGGGGGGGGGGGGGGCCCCCCGCCCTCTAGGGCACCCTCTCGGGCGCTGGCGGCGAGACGAGACGGGGGCACCCTCTCGGGCGCTGGCGTCGCAGCGTGCGCAAAGCAGAAACTCTCTCGGGGCCCCGCGCGGGTGTCCTGGCGCTGCGCAGCAGGCCCCCCGAGGCGGCGCCGGCGCCCCTCGCCCGGGATCGGGGGTGCAACGCCGACGCGGGGCCGCGCGGAGCTCCGAGAGTGCACGCTCATAGTCAGAGGTGCCTGTTCCTCTGGGTCTCGCCCTTCCCTCCCCCTGCGGCCGCCTCCTCTCGTCGAGGACGAAAGGACCCCACCCTCCCCTCCTCCCCCCCTTCTTGCATGCGGGCTCATTCGCGATGCCGCGCCCTGGTTTCGCTCGGACGCGCGTGCGGAGTGCCCCTGCCACTCTGCGACGAACAACAGTTCCCCTAGATCCTGTCCAGGCCCCTCCTGTCCTCCTCCTCCTCGATTCCCCTCTTCCTCCTCGTCCTCCTCCTCAGGGCCGGCCAGTATGGCCCCCCTGGCGAGACCAGGAGGGTGCGTGCACCGACCGTACCGTGGGCCCAGGGTTGGCTGGACCAGGCTCGATGCATGTGCACAGTCGTCTTTCTTGTTGCCCTCCTCGCCAGAGCCCGTGGAGCCACTTTGAAGCAGTGGCGAGGCGTCCTGGCTCCCGTCAAAGAATGTTCGAAACACCTTTTGTGGTTTGCACGAAATGTTCTTATATCATGTCTGGCTGAAACTGTTTGTTTTAACACGTCGGGCTTATGTTCTAAGAACATTGTTTTTGTTTCTAGAACAGAGTTGGGTTCTAAGAACATTTCGCGATAGGACTATAGGAATACCAGGACGGTCAGTCCCTGCTCAACACTTCTCCCCCCCCGTCCTTTGATCGATGACCTCCAAGATGGCCTCTAAGGCCTCCAAGTCGGCCCCCACGTGAGCCCTAAGGGGACCCCGAGAGAGCTCCCCCCAAGAGAGCCCGAGAGAGGCCCCAAAAATGGCTCCAGGGCGGGGGGGGGGGCTGGCCGGGCCCCCCTGGGGGAAGCGGCAGCGTCTGAAGACTCCAGTGCCGTCCGTGCCTCAGTGCCTCCCCACCCCCGCTTCGGGCTCGCGCCCGCGCGCGCTGTTCGACGCCGACCGCGTACCAAATCCAGCTCGATGCACGCTGCTGCGCGGGCCAGCACGTGCGGGCGCGTGCGTAGGAAAGGGTCTGGAAGACTCCTCCCGAGGTCCAGGTGCCCCCTCCGCCGACGGCGTCGTGCGGTCCCAGCGTGCCAGTAGCCGCAAGACTCCTCCTCCTCCTCCTTCTTGTCCTTCTCTTCCTCCTCCACCTCCTTCTCCTCCTCCTTTTCTTCATCTTCCTTATCTTCCTCCTCCTCTTCCTCTTCCTTCTTCCTCCCGGGGAGGAGGATCGAGGATCCATGATGAGGAGGAGGCGACGATCATCGAGGCTTCTCAGCACCGGGTGGCCTCCGGAAGTCTCCGCGGAGACCTCCTCGGGATCCCTGACCTCCCCTGGACCCCCGCCCTCCCTCTTCCCATCCCGCCCTCTCCTGCCCTTCCGCCCCTCCCCTTCTGCCCTCCCCCTGCCGCCCCGCCCTCCCCCTCCCGCCCCTCCCCTGCCGCCCGTCTTCCCCGGGCCCCCTCCCCCCCGTGGTGCCGCTGGGCCCTTCCTCGGCGGGGCCGCCGCGCCGCCGTGCCGGCTCGAGTCTCAAGCTTCAGCTCGTCGAAAGCGACTGGCCCCCCCCCGCGGTCACCGCGCGGTCGGCCCTGCACGGTTTACAATCATCTCCGCTCGCGCTGCCGTGGCGCTCCAAGCGCCTCCGCCGCCCTCCCTCCCCCTCCCCCTCGATCCCTTGCCGCCTCCGTCGTCTCCATGTCCTCCTCCTCCTCGCCCTTCCTCATCTCTCCCTCCTCGCCTTTCCCTTCCTCCTCGTTCTCCGTTCTCTTCTTGTTGCTTCCTCCCCCTCCCTCTCTGTCTCTCTGTCTCTCTCTCTCTCTCTCTCTCTCCCTCTCTCTATTATATATATGTATTCCTCTCTTCTCTCTCTCTCTCTTTCTCTCTCTCTCTTCTCTCTCCCTCTCTTTCTCTGTCTCTCTCTCTCTCTCTCTCTCCCTCGACGTTGTGTCTCGCCCTCCTCGCCCTCCCTTCCCCTCTCCCTCGCGGCGAGCCTTCTTAACTGCTCGAGGCAGCGGATCCTGGACCGACCCCGCCTGCCCGTCCTGAGGTTTCCTTCGCAGTGCGGGGGGCGTCAGGGGCGGGGGAGGGGAGAGTCGCAGGCCTGGAGGTTGACACCACTAACAAGATCGGCGGCGTTCCTTCACCGAGGGAAGAGCATCCCGATCTTGGTGATGGTGGTAATATTCTGGCTTCCAAGGTGACCGAAATATCACCAGCAACACCGAATTCTAGGATCGTCTCCACCCTGTGGAGGCAGCCTCGTGTCTTGGTGTTGGTGCCCATTTCCAGGCCTCCAAGAGAGGGGCGAAAGCGGAAGGAGGAAAGGGGAAGCAAAGAGAGAGGTCGGCGCAGGGGGAATGACGGAGGGAGGTCTCCAGAGGCCCCCAGAGGTCTCCTGCGGCCCCAAATGGGCTAACACTTTTTGATCTGCGGGTCGAGAGCGAACCTTCCGGTTAAAAGCTAGGCGGGCTACGCAAAGCTCTAATTGGCCAAGTGGGCTAACACACATATAATATATCCCCAGACCCACGGCTCACGCGGAGCGCCTGCGAACGCGACGCGGGCGGAGGAGGAGGAGGAGGAGGAGGAGGAGGAGGAGGAGGAGGAGGAGAAGGAGGACCAGTGCAAACCCAAGACTCATCAACGATGGTGGAATAAGCCCTTCCTCCAAGCCCTCCCTCAGGCTTTGTTCCCAAGCGCCCCGGGGGGCCCTGGAATAAGAGCTGCCGCAGTTCACGTCGCTTGATTCTCACACGCTATTAACTACAACCATCTCACCGGGACCTTTTTGTTCGAAGGGCCAGCGTGCGAAGCACGCTTGTCGCCCGCCTTCGGGCCGCCCTTGCGGGCGTTGACAGCTGTTCTGTTCTGTTCTGTTCTCCAAGCTCACTCATCAAAGGCCTCTACAAGGCTTCATTCATGTCCACTGAGAGATGCCCCGTTGGAAGACAACCGTTGGAAAATCCTGAAGCGCACCAAAACATCATTTTCGCAACTTGAGTGCCACAACTCAACTTGACTGTTACGTCTTGACGATCCTGAATCGTGTCAGAACGCCCTTCCTGGGAATTCAGCACCGCGAATCAACGATAATGATGCGCCCTGACAAGCCTGAATCGTTCGAACACGCCATTTCTGTCTGTTAATCATGAGACCCCGTGAAACTCTTGCAACTTTCTAGATCGAGTATGCGCGGCGCTACGGCGACAACCACACTTCTGAAAATGAGCCGCCCTCAACCGATGAAACGCTTGCGTGTTCTAAGATGAAGGTGCGCGGCGCTAGTCGCAAGCAGGGCAGGTAGGACCATCAGCCCCGCCATGAGAACCACCAGCTGGGCTACGAAGGCCACGATCAGAGTCTCGAGGATCACCGGGTTGGCTACCGGAGGCATCAGTTGAGCTCCGAGGGCCACAGGTAGAGCTTCGAGAGCCACCGGCGAAGCCACGAGGCCCAGCCAGAAAGCTACGAGGGCCACAGCCTGAGCTCCGACTGGCAGAGACTATAGAGCTACTACGGCCACCGGCAGAGCTGCCGCGGCCACCGGCGGACTTTCGAGGACCACGAGCTGAGCTGCGAGGGCCACAGGCACGGATGCCAGAGCCACCGGCCGAGCTGCGAGGATTGCAGGCTGAGATGCGAGGGCCCCAAACAGTGCTGCGAGAACAACCAGCTAGGCCATGAGGCCGCAAGCTGAGCCACGAAGGCCACGAGCTCAGCTACGAGGACCAGCGGATGACAAACGAGGGCCGTCAGCTGAGCTACGAGGGCCACCGGCTGAGCGACACGGACCACTAGCCCAGCTACCAGAGGCACCAGCTGTGCTACGAGGGCAACGAGCAGAGCTACGACAGCCACCAGCAATGTTACCAGGGCCACCAGCGGACCTTCTAGGACTACAGGCTCACCTGCGTGGACCACAGGCACAGCTACCACAGCCACCAGAAAGGCTACCAGGGCCCCCAGAAGACCATTGAGGACCACCAGCAGAGCTACAAGATCCACGGGCAGAGCTACGAGAGCGACCAGAAGAGCTACGAGGACCGCGAGCTGAGCTACGAGGACCACAGGCACAGCGACGAGAGCCACCAGAAGAATTCCAAGGTCCCCCTGTTGAGCCTCGAGAGCCACCAGCAGAGCTACGCGAGCCACAAGCTGAGCTACGGGAGGGGAGCCGCGTGCGTCTCGTGGAGATGACAGCAAAACCAGCCCTCAGCGCCCAAGAGTGGGTCCTAGCCCTTCATGACGCGCAGGGATGGGCATACCGAAGTGGAACGATCCAAACTCGCGTCAGGACTGATAGCCTGCATATCTACGGCCAAACAACTTTTGTGTTGCTTCTTTTTTTCTTTGTTGCGAAGGCTCGGCAAGATGTACACATATCGGGTCCACGCTTCCCAAAATTACAATATGCTGCAACAAGGTTACGTGTTCGAACAGCTGTGCGACCTCGCATCCGCGGAGGGCCAGCCTGAGGGTACCCAGTTCTTCCTCGACATGCTTCAGCACTTTCCTCGACATGTTTCAGCGCTGTTCGCCCAGGCGGCGTAGATCAGACCACGCAAGTGACTTACAACGGGGAATCTAGCATGCCTGAAGCCAGAGAAGACTACGGCGAGGAGGAGGAGGAGGAGGAGGATAACTCCCGCGTTGCGTACAAGAGACGCAGTCTTCAGCGCTACACGAGTTGGGCCGAGGGTAATTCCTTTCTTCCTCCGTTGGTTCCAACCTCCTTCCCTCCCAACGCCGCGGTATCAGACAGACACGTAGAACGCGCCATGAGTTCTTTACGCCCTGCCCCTCGGTTGCGTATCCTTTGCTGCCGGGCCCGACCGATTTGATGGCCACCGCCTGCACGCCGCGCCACGGCTGGCCAGTTCCCTCCTTCCTGCCCCCTTTCCCAGCCAGGACCCAGTGCATAATACGGTTCCTCTTCCCCGCTCCCCCCCCTTCAGGAAACCATCTTCGGTGGCGTCCGAGGATGCCGGGGGCGCGTCTCTCCCGCGCGCGCGCGCGCTCGGCGCGCGTGGCGCGGCGCGCCGCGCCTGGCACCGCTGCGCAGTGGTGCAGGAGAGAGGAGGAGAAAAGGGGGAGCGAGGAAGAGAAGAACAATTAGGAATAACAAATCATATGATGATGGTGAGAGGATGATGGTGGTGAGGATGCTGAAGATGATGATGATGATGACTATCGTGAAGAGGCTGAGGA